CAGCAAACATTACAAAATATTGTAATATTGGCTTCCACCGAGGACAATTAGAATCACATTTTATTAATGGGAATACCTAAATCTTGCTTTGTAACTTGAGAAAATTTAGAAAGAATTTCTGGGGTATCTGATATTTTGATTAAAGTATGCATCAAAATCAGGCCACGGTACTTTCTTGTGTGTCTAATGAAATTGATTATAAATGTATTAAAAGTGGATGGGAAAGAATTAAACTTCAGTTTGCAACTTTTGGATAGTGGTGGCTTGCATACTTCAAATTGTATATAAATTTTCAATAGCAGAACTGCAAAAGAAGAACTTAAATATTAAATAGTAGGTATAATAGATGTTTATAGTTTCAAAAGACACTTTAAACAATTAACTATTATGTTTTGTGCAGTGAACCCAAATTAAATTAAGGTTTGCTCATGCACATATATAATTAGAATTGGCTTGTAGCCATTATTCTTTATAAACAAATAAAGGCATAGTAGGATTCAAAAAGTAAGTAATTGCCACATGCATGAACTCACTTTTGGTAGCCTAGAAAATTTGCTTCACAGTTCTTTGATGCTTGTTATAACTTGTCTTGGAATTATAATTTGTATTATTTTACAACATTTAACTTATTTTTCCCGTCATCTTATATATGTATATATTATCTGTTATCTGTATCTCAAATAAGTGCACTTATCAGTGCCTATTTTCCAATTGTTCTGACTAGTTTTGGTCTTTCTAAATGCATGATTTTATTGCTGCTGGGAAATTACTCAAAAGACAGTGTTGCCTAATGATTTCTTCACGAAGTGGTTAAATCCGGATACAGCATGTGTGATGCAAAAATCAGAAAAGATACAGTTACTAAATACATCTTTTTGCTGACATCTGATGGCCATCCAGATTTTTTTAGTTCTAAGTTGACACCATTGAAATAAAGAAAGACACAAAATGCACTTGGTAGTTTTACATTGCATTATAAGTGCAAAGGGTTAATTCCTTCTGCTGGTAGACTAGTCAGTGGAATCAGGAGGAAGAACTGATTTTCTCAGAATCTGCTTCAGAGGTTTGGTGCATTATTTGAAGAGGATCCAAAGAGAAAGGAGAAAGAAGGAAATCCCACTGCATGAAATTTTCATAGCAAAGCTAACTTAATTTATAAAGAGTTTGATAAAATATTTATCAGTACTAGTTTTCTTGTGAGGGAAGGGGAAGAAGGCTCTCAATTGTTATGTAAGATGAATTTACATAATGCAAGCAGTTGTATGGTATTGTAATATGTGCTTTAGTGTTTACAGTACATATCTTTTTTTGTTTTAGATTAAATAGAAAGTCGGCCACTTAATTTTTCTCAGTGGCTATATTGGCTTTTGGATAGATTTTGGAGGCATTGTAATAATAAGTGGACCTGAGCCAACAAACACATAGGTCCTCTTTTGAGGCTGCATTTATTTTCTCCATCTTTTTTTGAGACCTCCCTTTTCTCTTTCCCAGGTAGTTGTTTGTCAGGGAACATATTTTGATAGAGTCTGAATTGTTGGTTAGATCAGGAGCTGAATGCAGCTCCATGGCCATAGGTTGCCCATCCATAATGTATAGAGATATTACTACTTATTTTTGTAGTGTTTATATATTTGAATGCTTTTCTGAAAAATGCCACAGATTCATTAAAAATAGACCAGTGGTTCTCAACCTTTTTTTTTAATTATTATAATTTTTTACAATTTTACAATTTCCCAATCCCTCCCAACCCACCCCAAAACCCTCCCCCATTCTTCCCAGAGCTGAATACAGGGTTAACTATAACTTATAAGAAAAAACTTTTAAACCCAAATAAACCTCAAGCAAGTATAATCACATTCAGTAAACAAATTATTAAATACTTTAACTCCATTTTATGTAAAAAAACAGAAAGAGAAAAAGAAGAAAAATAAAAAATAAAAAAATAGTAATAATAATAATAAAAAACAAAAATAAAACTATTCTACACTCTTAAATAATATCTTAAACTTTAAATATAAATTATTCAAAAGCTAAATGATATTTTCTTACATCATACTTATATTGTATAAAATTTATCCATCTTTCCACACCAAGAGATACTTCTCTTGCGATTGATCTTTCAAATAAGCTGAAATTTTTGCCATTTCAGCTAATTAAGAAACTTTAAAAAACCATTCCTGCCAAGTAGGCAAAGATTCCTTCTTCCAATATTGCCCTATTAACAACCTTGCCGCTGTAATTAAATTTAAATTAAAATAATCTCTTTGTCATTACAATCAGAAACAATACCCAACAAAAACAGTTGTGGGGTAAATTTTATCCTTCTTTTGAAAATTCTTTGAATATTCCACCATATCTTAATCCAAAAGGCTTTTATACTTTTACATGATCACCAGATATGATAATACGTTGCGTCCAAGCAACCACATCTCCAACATTTAGGCTGCAAATTTGAATACATACGAGACATTTTTTGTGGGTCAAGGTGCCATCTATAAAACATTTTATAAAAATTTTCCTGTAAGTTTTGCGCTTGTGTAAATTTGACATTCCTCACCCAAATAATCTCCCATGTATCTAATAAAATCGGTTCATCAAAATTTTGAGCCCATTTAACCATACAATCTTTAACTAATTCTGTTTCTGAATCCAATTCCACTAATACACCATAAATTCTTTTAATGTGGGTTCGACTTTGATCTCTAATTTGTTTTAGCAAATTCTCATCCTCTCTAAGCAAACCCACTTCCACCTTTCCAATAATTGTCTATACTGAAACCATGAATAATTAATATTTTCTTATGCTAATTCATCTATGGATTTTAATTGCCAATTTTTACCATCCCACTTAAGTAATTGTGTATAAGAAATACTTTCCATCTTAACTCCTTTCCGTATTCCTTCTATTGCATGCCATGGAATAGCCCATAATGGAATTCTTGAATCAAAGTTCTCAACCTTTTTAATGTCGCGACCCCCAACCGGTCGTAAGTCGAGGACTACTCAACCGGTTGTAAGTCGAGGACTATTCAACTGGTGTAGCACCGTTTGCAGAATGGGACTTTTGGCGGGCTCAGCAGGGCAGAGACAGCCTGGACAATTCCTATTGGCTTTTGAAAGCCAATAGAATTAGACTCTATTCAAGAGACTCTATTCTATTGGCTTTCCAAAGCCCATAGAATAAAAGGGAGTAGCACAGCTAAGGAAAAGGGGGAAAAAATGGCGGATTGCGTTGTTTGGCAACCCCCGTGAAATGGTTGTTCGACCCCAAATGGGGTCCCAACCCACAGGTTGAGAACCACTGAGATAGACCATCTAAGTCTAGTATTTTAGTGTAAGAGTTGTATCTGTTTCACATATGCGTTAGAAAAAACAAAACAGTCTCTTCTATGCCAGATTATTATTGGTAAATCATGACAGAAGTTTTAATCTTTTATTATCTGCTCTGTCCCTTTCATTTCCCTTGTTCATAAGTCATTCTAGAAATGGTGAAAATTAAAGAAAGTGAGGCCACCACCAAGTAAACTTGTACAAAGCAGATAATTCCTGGTTGTAATATGCTACCAGAAGCCTAAAAAAAAGCAGATGTTCTGAAGTTTGGGCTAATAAAACCAGCGTTTTCCAATTTACTTTTTTCTTCTTGTTATGAACTTCAGCAAATTAGTGTGCTCAGCCATGTTTGATTTGCAGTGTTCTTAAATTTTTACGTTAGTTTTTGGGGCATGGATAATATTACCCCCTTGACAAAGCAAGCATAATAATTACTAAGGTAACAAATGTGAAATGTTTATTTTTTATTTGTTGAAAAGATTTATATGGACACCTATCTGAAGCACTCTTAAGTGATTTTTACTTCTGTCATTTTTGTTGTTCAGTCACTAAGTACTGTCTGACTCTCAAATTCATGTTCATTTCTATCATTACCACACTCTATTGCAGTGATGGCGAATCTTTTAGAGCCGAGTGCCCAAACTGCAACCCAAAACCCACTTATTTATCGCAAAGTGCCAGAGCTGCATCAGGATTGTAGTGCTCTCGGGGTGGTGGTGGTGGGGGATGTGGCCCACTGGGTGGGCGTGGCTGCAGTGATCACAGAAGACTGGGTGAGTATGGCCGGGGCCAAGGTGGTGGGGGTCAGTCCCTCACCATCTCTGGGGCATCCCTGGGAGGCCAACGCCGCTTGCTCACTCACTTTCTGCCCTGTTGCTTAAAACGCCGCGTGCTCACTACTCTGGCAAACTCTGCTGGGGCAACAGCACGTATGCCCACAGAGAGAGCTCTAAGTGCCGCCTCTGGCACGCGTGCCATAGGTTCGCCACCATTGCTCTATTGTCTCTGCACTAGCATATTTTGTTATATTGATGCCTATAATTGTTTATGGGAGTATTATGAAATGAAGTTACTGTGTTCTATTTTTTTAGTTTAAAAACAATTCTAAAATTGTAAATAACATGATTAATATTTTGAGTGATTTTTCTGGCCTGGCATGACAACTTGAGTACATTTAACAATTGTTTGGAAATATGGCATATCTTGTCATAGCATAGAATTGAGTTATGGTTCCCACAACATGAAAAAGTTGCTCATTACTAATCTATATTTTGAGAAAACTTAAGTATTATCTTCCAAAGACTCTTTTCCAGGTTCAATGAGTAAAAGAGTAAATAGTATTTGGTAGGAAGCAAATTATACACTGCAGCTGGCTTGAGTAACTGACAAAAAAAATTATTTGAGGGGATGATGTACTTCAGGAATAGATGAAAACTTGTTTTAGGAGTAACTATCTAAATTTATAGCAAACATTTGTGGACCTAGTAGTTTTAGGGGAACTTCTAATAAAATCAGTACACTGTTTTGAATGCTTCATCAAAATGACAAGGCTCTCCCTGGAGTGCTGTTATTTCCATAAAAAGATGCCTGCTATTTCCTAATTTAGTCTTCAGATCTATGACTGATACTCTTGTTTTTAATGAATACTAACTGTACCATTTTTTTAATAGTATGCATGACAAACTGTCCTACTCTGATTGTAATGGTTGGCCTTCCAGCAAGAGGAAAAACTTACATATCAAAAAAATTGACACGCTACTTAAATTGGATTGGAGTGCCTACAAAAGGTGAGTGCTGTCACAACAGAGATTTAACCAAAATTTAGACAAGAATGGTCCCCGTAGATACAATATATTATGTTACATGGCAAATATCAATCCCTTTGGCTTCTAAGGGGGCCTAAATGTATATTACCCAAGTAGCTATTTTTTTCTTTCCTTTTTTTCTGTTTAGATGTTGTTGCCTATTTTGGTTTATCCGTTTTCTTTTTAACAATACAATTGATAGTATTAAGTAATCAGCTTAAGCAGAAACCTTTATTTTACACCAAATATTTTGATGTATTTTGCAGCTTCTCTTTATATTCAGTTATATTCAATAAAAGCTAAATAATCTTATTTATTTTTATTTATTAAATTTATATGTAGCCCATTTTTCCAATAAGGTTACTCTTATGCTTATTAAATTGGTATTATAAATCATAGTTACTACTGATATAGTATCTTTTCTGTCTTTAATAGTCTAATTTATCTAAACTTTAGAGTATTAATAATCTCTAGTCCACACTGTATTGAAATAATAAATGTAATATATATGTTTTATAATTATATATAAAACAAAGAAAAAAATGAGTATTGTAACAGAATAAGATTTTATTGGTTAGTCACATAGTCAGCATTTTTACCAACCTATCAAGTCCTTTCCAAAGACCCAGGATAGATAGATATTGATGTTTGGTTAACCAAGGTAAAATATATTATTGGCTAAAGGTATTATTACTGTTATTTTTTTATCTAAAAATGTCACTAGTGTGCACAGTGCTTAAACAATTTTTAAAAAGTTGGTCCATTATGCTCAACTGCTTTCAATTAAAAGTAAGGAAAGGAAAATGGAAGCAAATAGAAAAAGAAGCTAAGATGGTTTGTTTTCAGTTTTACATACCTAGATTTAATCACAGATTTAAGTTGTGGTAAGTCATTGAATGAGGCAGTTAAAAGCTTCATGGGAAAAATTGGTTCTAAGAAGAATTGGAAAAGAAAAGCAATGCCCTTTAGAGCTTCTTATAACAATATTTTAGGGTATAATTATAAAGTGATCTGGCTTCAAGATTATAATGTATAATAAATTTTCTGGATGTTCGGGATGCTTCTATAACTTATAGGAGAAAATAAAAACTCAATTTTCCTCTTCGACAGAGTTTAATGTTGGACAGTACCGTCGAGATTTGGTAAAAACATACAAATCCTTTGAATTCTTCTTGCCAGACAATAAAGAAGCCCAGAAAATCCGAAAGTAAGTTTGTTATGTGCTACTTTCTGTTGGCATCATGTTGCTGTTTTGAACTAAAGGAATGTTGATGTTAGCAAATTAGAAACAGCTGATGCTGTTGGTTGTTTTACCAAGGTGGGAAAGTAGGATAGCTTTCTCGAGAGATGCATGGCTCAGTCTTTGTTTTCTTCCTATAGTCATTGTTTTAATTTTACTGGCCATGCTGTAATCTATGAACTGGACGAGGACAGATAAATTGCTCCAATATTTCTGAAGTGTGCCTTTTAAGTGCTTTGGTACATGAGGCTGAGTCTTGGTTTGTGTACAGTCTTTTAATAATGCTGAATAGCCCTGTATGTCTGTAACTGTGAAGTCTTGTCAAGCGGATAACCAGGATGTTGTCTCTTCTTTTTAAGACAGTGTGCCTTAGCAGCACTAAATGATGTTCGGCGATATCTTTTTGAAGAAAATGGGCATGTGGCAGTAAGTGTTCTGTGGTGCATGGCTAAACAAATGAATACTAGAACAGTTTTTCCTAGTCTTTTGAGGTGGTGGCTCTCAAATTCCATAAGCTGCTACATAAATACTACGAGATTGGAGGTTATGCCCAATCTAACTCCAGTGTGATCATTGGTTCTGGTCACTTGCTTTATTATTGGAGGAAATTACAACATATGCTACATAGTACTAGCCTTCTGCTAGCCTCAGTGGATAATTTTCATATCTGTATCTGCTGACATCAATTTTTATAATGCAGAAGTAATTTTAAATTGTTGCATTGCTAAAGTCTTTGTAAGTCACATTTGGAAAACAAACACCTTAAAAAAAGATAGCCCTATGAAATAGCTTGAACAATATGTTATTCTCCAGCAGGATGGCTGTAGAGTCCAATGGATGGGTTCTATGACAGCCTTCCTGCCCGGCAGACTGGGTAAAAAACTTTGGCCACACCCCTTCCTCTGGGCGTGACCCCAGTTTTGACTCAGTCTCGAAGCCCGATAGCAGTGCGAGATTCAGCTCTTCAAAAATCCATAGCTTAAGACAAAATCTCCCTCTTCCCAGACTAAATTTCCAGACGAAATTAGCAATAACAAGACCTTTAGCAGCTGGCTCAGACCGGATCTCCACCCAACGGAGGATCATCGGAGCGGTGAGAGTATCCCCAAGGGCTAGGGAGACCAGCCAAGGGGTTCGGGGGGCTCACCGGGTCGTTTACCGACCCCCAGCACATTTATCAGCCGATCGGCACGGGGCCCGCCCCCCCTTGCACTCAAAGCCCGAAAGGGCCGCTTTAGCTGGCGTTCGCCTCCTGGCTTGCCCTCCCCCCCCTTTTCCTTTGCCGGCGCGCAGGGAGGACAAGGAAAATTTCAGAGCCGGCAGCTAGAACCGCCATTGTGAGCCTCGTGGTCTCCATAGGCTGTGGTTGGGGGGAGTGGCCTCCTCCAATTCGCCATTTTGAACGAGCGGATTAACCCGCCGTTCCATTGTGGGTGGGGCTTTTCGCCATCCGGAGGAGCCTACTTGCATTACAAAGAGGGAAGAGGGGGAAAATAGGCAAACTGCAATCAATTCGAACGTGATCTGTTTTTACAGTCACAGATTGGGGGAGTTAAAGTCACCAGTTGCATTGTGTTGGACCAGGGCTGAAGAGTCCTGGGATTAGGTGAGGAGGTGAGGAGGAATAATTTTCTCTAACTGTTCATATAGTGACCTTTAGTCACTGCCTTGCAGGATCTCCTGTCCAAAGAATCCTGTCTGTCCGGCCATTGTTGGTATAGGCAGAGGAGGGCCCAGCCCCAAGCATCTGCATCTGATCTGCGTATCTTATTCCCCCACTCCAGGCATTACCTACTCGGGGTGTCTGGCACAATGGCAGACAATGTCTCGTATTCAGTCATTCGTATCCCAGTGGTGACACCCATCTCAGAACCTACTGCCTAGGAAGTTCTCAAAACTTGGTCTCCTCCTGGGGAAACTGAACAGTTAGATTCCTCCACTCCCTCCTCACCAACTTCTTCACCCGACAACACTCCAGCGTGTCATTCCAGCGACAAAGCGCAGGAGAACATATGGTCGGCACGATTCCAGGCATTCATGCAGGATGCCTTTTCCCAGTTCATGGCTTCTAAGGGACAAGTGGCCTTTCACACACCCCATAAGGGACGACCCAGGCCGCCCCCTACCAACATTTCTGAGACTTCCTCTCAAATTGGAGAGGGTGACTCATTAGACCTTGATATGTCAGACATGCCCCTTTCGGAGGATGAGGAGACCGCACCTGAGCAGGCGACGAGCTCTGGCCTCTTTAACCCTGCGCTCCTAAAATCACTCCTGATAAAGGCAGTCTCCACAGTCAGCCTAACTTCAGTACAGGAGGAAATGCCCTCTACAAGCAAGGAGGCCAATCCTCTATTTGCCAAGAAGGTCTCACAGGATAAGTACATTCCATGTCCGGAGGTCTTCATGACCACAGTAGAGGAACAATGGTCCTCACTGGCCAGCCCACCGGCGCCCAATAGAGTGGAAAGAAAGCTGTTCAACCTTTCTCCCTCATTCTCGAACATGTTAGAGGTTCCTATGGTAGATAACCCCTTGATCTCATTATTTTCTACCTCCGCGATTCCAGGAGACATGGCGGAAGCCTTGAAACCAGAAGAAAAGAAATTTGAACACTCCCTCCGTCGCTCCCACATGGCTGCAGCCTGGGCGGCCAAAGCAGCCACCTCATCATCATTCTTCGCGAGGGCCTGCATTATGTGGCTGAGGGAGCTGCAAAGCACGGTGCCTCCAGATCAGGTCAGAGTACACCAGACATTGGCCAAGCTCCTCGCGGCCTCTCAAGTCACGGCTGACGCTTCGCTGTACGCAACGAAGTACGCGGCAAGATCCATTGCGGCCACAGTAGCCTCGCGTAGGCTACTGTGGCTCAAAAATTGGAAGACAGACCTGAGGTCCAAGTGGCGTCTCTCGACGTCCAAATACAGCGGGGCATTCCTATTTGGGTCCATACTGGACCCACATGTCAGTGAAGGCAGAGACAAGAGGAAAATATTAGTACACCCATCAAAGAAGTTTGATAGGAGAAGCAGTCAAGACTTCCGGAGACAGGGCTCCCACCCAGGAAGCCCCTGGGAATGGAGGCAGCCCTTTCGGTCAGGGCAATCCTGGGACTGGCCCAGAGGCTCGCGATCCTTCTACCCGAGACAGGATCGACCCCAGGATCGCCAAAGCACAGGAGCCAGAGGCCAGTTCCAGTCCAGACGCCCATATAGGGGATCGGGAGGCAGATCCTTTAAGCGCACCAAGTGACGCCAAACAGAACACTCCCATCGGGGGTCGGTTAGGAAATTTCATCGAGGTCTGGGAGCAGACCACTACCGACTCCTGGGTCTTGGAAACGATCAGGCATGGCCTGACCTTAGACTTCTGTTCTCCCCCACCAAGCTGGTTCATCAGATGTCCCATCTCCAGAAAGGTACACAAGGCAAGGTTGCTAACTTTGGCCATAGCTCACCTCCTGTCAATTCAAGCCATAGAGAGGGTACCAAGGGGAGAGGAAGGAAGAGGATTTTATTCCATCCTCTTCGTTATCCCGAAGCCGTCAGGAGGATGGAGAGCAATATTGGACCTGAAGGGCCTGAATTATTACATAAAATACAGGAGGTTCAAGATGCACTCCTTGAAATCCATCCTAGCCAGCGTCAGGGAAGAGGATCTCCTATCCTCAATAGACCTAACAGAGGCGTACCTACACATCCCCATTCATCCCAGCTACCGGAAATTCCTCAGATTCACCTACGCGGGCCGACATTACCAATACAGGGCCCTACCCTTCGGACTATCCTCAGCGCCAAGGGTATTTACCCAGATTCTAGCTGTAATAGCGGCCCATCTCAGACTGATGCCGGTTCGCGTACAGTTCTATCTGGACGACATCTTGATCCAGTCCAGATCTCAGGAACAAGCAAGGGTAGATCTCAAGACCACAATCCAAACCCTGCAAGGGCATGGATTCTCGGTCAATTTGGCCAAAAGTCATCTCACTCCCTCAAGGAGACTGCAACACCTAGGCGCAGTAATAGACTCGTCACAGTGCAGGGTATACCTTTCCCAGGATCGACGAATCAGCATATCCAAGCTAATTCAACAAAGTCAGAGAATCAGGAGAGTGCCCTTGATACAGCTCTCGAAACTCCTGGGAAAGATGATATCTTGCATGGGCATTATACCATGGGCAAGACTCCACTCGAGGGAGTTGCAGTGGTTCCTCCTACCCTACCAGAGGAGGAATCTCAGCACCTCCAACAGGAAGGTCTTGGTACCAGCACAGGTGATGAGATCTCTGAAGTGGTGGATATCTCCCAAGATACTCAAGGGGAGCATATTCAAAGAGCCAAACAGGGTCACGCTCACGACAGATGCGAGCCTGTTCGGATGGGGAGCCCACTTGGGAACCCAGATAGCACAGGGCCAGTGGGACCAGAAGGACCTCTCACACAGCATCAATTGGCTAGAGCTCCGGGCCATCCACCTGGCCCTACGCCATTTCTCACATCTAGTAACAGGGAGGCACGTCCTCGTGTTAACGGACAATGTAGCAGCCAAGGCCCATGTAAACAAGGAAGGGGGAACGCGATCAGCGGAACTAATGAAGGAGGCGTTAGCTCTGGCTCGGTGGGCAGAAACCAACGTGAGTTCTATCAAGGCAGAACACATCTCGGGGGAGGCAAACACCCAGGCAGACTGCCTGAGCAAGCCAAGGTGGATCAGGCAGAATGGCGCCTGGATCCGGCTCTGTTCGAGGAGATCTCCCGGAGATTCGGGCAACCGCACCTGGACCTATTTGCCAACCACAAGAACACACAACTCCCCAGGTTCTTCTCCAGATTCCCGTCTCCGGGGTCGGAGGGAACGGATGCTCTCAGGTGTTGGTGGCCGGCGCATCTCCTGTACGCCTTCCCACCGTTGCCCTTAATACCGGCGACCATACGCAAGCTGATCCGGGAAGGCGCAGAGATAGTCTGCATTGCCCCGCATTGGCCACGGCGCCCGTGGTTTGCCGACCTCGTGGACCTTTCGATATCACCCCCGTGGAGGATTCCCCCGGACAGAGTAACTCTCAGCCAGGGCAAGTTTGTGCACCCAGACCCCCAGTGGCTACAACTAGCCGCTTGGCATTTGAGCGGCAAAGTTTAGCCAAGCACGCTTACTCGGCAGGGGTGATATCGATCATACAAGCTTCACGACGAGCGTCCACGAACAGGATTTACGATGCTACATGGAAAGGCTTTTGTAGGTGGTGCGCTTCTGTGCGCCTAGATCCAGCTACAGTATCCATCCCCAATATTCTAGATTACCTCCTGGAGGGTCTTAACAAGGGCCTGTCAGTCAACACTATTCGCAGACAGATATCGGCCCTCTCAACTGTTCTCTCTTGCGACAACTTGACATCCCTAGCGCAACATCCAGCGATTAGCGCCTTTTTAAAGGGGGCGTCCAACACAAAGCCCCCCGTCATTCACAGGTACCCGTCTTGGAACCTGCCTAAAGTCCTTCTAGCCTTGACATCAGCACCATTTGAGCCCCTTGATTCATGTTCTCTTCACCACCTATCGCTGAAGGTGGCCGTCCTCGTGGCAATCACTTCAGCAAGAAGAATTTCAGAACTAGCGGCACTATCAGTAAGGAAGGATCTGTGTACCTTCTTCAAGGACAGGGTCATCCTTAGGCCAGACCCGGCCTTCATTCCGAAGGTAAACAGCATCTTTCACAGATCTCAGGAATTGATTCTTCCCGATTTCTGCCCAAAACCCAAACACCGGCTAGAGCATAGATGGCACAAGCTGGACGTGCGTAGAGCGCTGTGTTTCTACGTGAAACGCACGTTGACATTCCGCAAGACAGAAGCATTATTTGTTTCCTTTCAACCATCATCTATGGGAAAGAAGGTGTCTTCTTCCACATAGGTAGGTGGATCAGAGCCTGCATAGCCCAGGCCTACGTCTCGCAGGAACTACCAGCACCCGCACATGTGACTGCCCACTCAACACGGAGCGCAGCCACTTCGGCGGCGTGGCTAACACAAGCGCCGGTAGAAGAAATTTGTAAGGCAGCGACGTGGTCTTCACTGTCTGTCTTCATCCGGAATTACCGTTTAGACTCCCTGGCCGCATCAGATGCTGCCTTTGGTAGAAGAGTGCTACAGCAAGTCGTATCTGCTCAGAATTCGGTAGCCTAGACTTCCCTCCCAGGGGGACATGAGGGCTTTGGTATGTCCCATCCATTGGACTCTACAGCCATCCTGCTGGAGAAGGGGCGTTGTCTTACCTGAACGCCTTTTCTCAGCAGGATGATGTAGAGTCCAAGCCCACCCAGGGGTTAGGTCTAGGCAGGTAGGTAATAAAGAGCTGCAATATTGATTCCAACAAAGTTTCTCGCGTAAGTCAAAACTGGGGTCACGCCCAGAGGAAGGGGTGTGGCCAAAGTTTTTTACCCAGTCTGCCGGGCAGGAAGGCTGTCATAGAACCCATCCATTGGACTCTACATCATCCTGCTGAGAAAAGGCGTTCAGGTAAGACAACGCCCCTTTTATTTCTAATATGTTTCTTATTGAGTTGGGTGGTGTGAAAATCAAATAAATAGGCAAACAACATTAGGAATAGGTTAGTATGATATGTGTGTCATATGTGTATGAATTATAGTAGAAAGAAAGGTGAATGGAACAAATGTTTGTACAGGCATTTTGCTTTTGAAAATCTCAGGAATATATGGGAACAGCATGACATAAAATAGGCAGAATGTCCTATATATTTTATTTGTAGTTTTAGTGCATAATCTTCAATGCTAATTTGAGACGAGGTATTTCATGAATCTTGAGAGAATATGAGTTAATTGTGGATAATTTTTATTCTTCTGTATGTGTATCTTATAGCACATTCATACTAAATTGTGTTATGTAGAATAATAACATGGTTATATCCAACTAGGATATAGTCCCATTGAGTAGATTCATTCTGTCATTTTATTCAAGATAACACTTCAAAATATTTGTGTCAACCGTGTTTGGGAGTGCCCTCTGTTAATGGAAATTAACAGCTCAGCAAATACACATTTAATTGAACTATTTGTTCTGCTTGCTATTAGTATGCCAGGCATACATATGGAAGATATATGTACCTAGATAACTGTGCAAAACCATACAGTAGTTGCTAAAAATACGACAAAGTTATTATATTTTATTAATGATTCATGAAATATTATGAAGAGATATATATTTTTCCACTGATATACCAATGATTCCTGTATTGTCTCATCCAGGTTTTTGATGCTACAAATACTACAAGGGAACGTAGAGACACCATATATAAGTTTGGTGAAGAAAATGGATTTAAGGTCAGTTGAATAAAGATGCTAAAACTATTTAGTCCTGGGATGTGTAAAATGTTTGTTCTAAATATTAGACTGATTGCAAACAAAAACTGACAGTAACTGCAGATGAAAAGTATTGGCTGTAATTTTGTAACCCCCCCTCCCAAATTTTCTAATAAATTATGGTCATAATAAATTATTCTGTAAGTTTAATTCTATGATTGACAGTAACTATTAGCAATAATTTCTATTTAATATGAAAGAAGATTCTGTTGTGATTAGAAATGTTCACTTTTAAGACAGTTGGCAATTTTAATATTGTATGTACCATTAATTGCCTTGATAATTATAACTCTCATGTATTTTTGTGAGGAGATAAAGAAGAGATATAGCCATGTTCCCTTGATTTATTCCTCTAGAAAGATACAGTATATGGAATTTTCTTAAAAATAATTTATATTACATGACAATTAAAAGGATTTCATTAAAGCCATACTATCTGAATTAGTTGAAAAAAAGATCAAAGGAATTTTTAACATACTACAACTACATTATAATAATTATACAAGAAGAAAGTTTGTATGATTAGGTTTGAAGTAATACAGGTAGTCCTTGTTTAGTAACTGCCTTGTTCATAGTTATGGCAGTTATGAAAAAGTAACTTTAAACCAATCCTTGCATTTATGACCATAGGTCTATTAAGCAGTGGAAAGCTTGAACTTAGATCATAAGCCCAGTTGTGGTTTTACTTAGTGACTACTTTGCTTAACAATCCAGTTGTGGTTACTAGTCAAAAATTACTATTTGATTAATTGTGCAGCACTGTGTTTTGCTTTTGAGTATGTAAGTTGAAGCCTGCTTTGCATTTTTTTAGAAAGTGAAAAATAATATGTAAGGGTCCACCATCAATGTTCTTCCTGTTTGACTTGTAGACTTTTTTTGTGGAGTCAGTATGTGTTGATCCTGAGGTTATTGCTGCAAATATTGTGGTGAGTAGTAACTTCCGTTTATGTTAAAATATTTTTGCTCAGTTTACTTCCCAGAACTAGTGAATCTTGTCCAGCTATATCACTCCCTCCCATACTAAATAGTTGGATAAATTTTTTTTTTGTAAATGTTACATATACGTGTATGCATGCAGATAACATATTTCACTTCTGTATTGATTTTCCATTAAGGTTTGTTTTTAAAACTGTAGATTACATCATGAACATTTAGCTTTGTATCATTTTCCTGACTGGCTGAACTTTCCAGGTTTTCTTCCCAAGCATTCTTGCATTCACTGGGGACTGGATTTGGGAAACTGGCTTGCAAAATATGTATTTTACCAGTGAACTCTGCCTCAGTTCAATAAAGGCAGAAAACAAATTAACCATATAATTGCAGAACAAGCCTAGGAGAAGTATGGGAATATTATTTGTCAATCACCAAGCTATAGAAATGTATTTATTGTATTTAGTGTATGGGATCCACAGAGATCATGATATACAAATTTGGCTTAAATAAAGCATCAGCAAATATCTATCTATCAAATATCTATTTATCTACACACACACACACACACACACACACGACTATAGGACATGATATATTAAATTAAGGCTATAGAAATAAAAAAATGAAATCAGACAGAAGGATCTGGACAGACCTGAACACTGGGCACTATCTAACAAAATGAAATTCAATGGTGAAAAAAGCAAGATTCTACATTTAGGCAAGAAAAACCAAATGCATAGGTATAGTATAGGGGGTACCTTGCTCAATAGTAGTAACTGTGAGAGGGACCTCGGAGTCCTAGTGGACAATCACCTAAATATGAGCCAGCAGTGTGCTGCAGCTGCCAAAATGGCCAACACAGTGCTAGGCTGCATTAACAGAGGGATAGAATCAAGATCACGTGAAGTATTAATACCACTTTACAATGCCTTGGTAAGGCCACACTTGGAATACTGTATCCAGTTTTGGTCACCGTGCTGTAAAAAAGATGTTGAGACTCTAGAAAGAGTACAGAGAAGAGCAACAAAGATGATTAGGGGACTGGAGGCTAAAGCATGTAAGGAACGGCTGCTTGAATTGGGTATGTCTAGTTTAATGAAGAGAAGGACGAGGGGGGACATGATAGCAGTGCTCCAATATCTCAGGGGCTGCCACAAAGAAGAGGGAGTCAAGCTATTTCCCAAGGCGCCTGAAGGCAGGACAAGAAGCAACAGATGGAAACTGATCATGGAGAGAAGCAACCTAGAACTAAGGAGAAACTTTCTGACAGTTAGAACAATTAACCAATGGAACAACCTGCCTCCAGAAGCAGTGAATGCTCCAACACTGGAAGTTTTTAAGAAAAGACTGGACAGCCATTTGTTCGAAATGGTATAGGGTTTCCTGCCTGAGCAGGGGATTGGACTAGATGACCTCCAAGGTCCCTTCCAACTTTACTACTACTACTACTACTATTATTATTACTACTATTACTATTATTATTATTAATATTAGTGTCAATCTTATGATAACAATTTACCATCCACGTTATATTTTCTACTGATATTTAATTTGTATATTTTCCCTAAAGTTTTGAAGTATAAGGTTTCCCTTTTAAATTTAGTTCTTTCTACTCAAAAACACAAAATATAGGAAAGCATCATATATCTAATTGACTTCTTTTATAATATTTAGAGATTTCTTTGTTCTGTGTTTTTTTAGCAAGTGAAATTAGGCAGTCCTGATTATGTTGACTGTACTAGTGATGAAGCTACAGAGGACTTTATGAAAAGAATTGAGTGTTACAAGAATTCATATGAGACGTTGGATGAAAATCTAGACAAGTAAGTGACCATTTCAATTTTAATTAAAAACAATAATATGGTACCTTAAAGGTTAATCCATTTAACTATAACATTACGTTTTAGCGGATCACATCCTCTCAGATGAATGATATAAATTAATGTGAGGGAGATGATATAAATACTTTTAATAAGAAAGGAAAATCTAAAAAACGGGATAGTAATGAGAATAAGCAGAAATGCCTTTAGGATTAGAAGATAGAGACAGGATCGTGAGATACAGCGGGTCATAAATAAAGCAGAGGGATGTGTGCTTGTCAGTCCTAGGTAGCAAAATCAACAAGGAACACTATGGCCCTTTACTGTGAGAGATTTATACTGCTGATAATTTTATTACTCAATTGTTGATGTTTACGCCTTGCTTGTGATCTGGAGTGAGAAAAATGGGAAATGAGAAAGGTTAAAGAAAAAGTGAAATTCCATGGTTGCCTGAAAAAATGACTAAATGTGAAAGAGTCACAGCATTTAACATGGGTATTTTGGACATTAATCACTATAATTTAAAAATAACTCTTGGTCCGCATTCAATCCATGACAAATGGTATTTACGTTTTCTGATTCAGTCTGCTTTGTTCTTTTTGTCAGACATGACCATCTTTTATTTTTATTTTATTCAATAAATTTATATGTCTCAAAGTGACTTTTGAGGTCAAAAATAGAACATTATGGGGAGTTTGTGTGTTTATTTTATTTATTGTTAATTGCGAACTCGTGTCCGACCCATCGCGACCCCATGGACAACGTTCCTCCAGGTCTTCCTGTCCTCTACCATCTTCTGGAGTCCTTTTAAGTTCACACCTACTGCTTCAGTGACTCCATCCAGCCATCTCATTCTCTGTCGTCCCCTTCTTCTATTGCCCTCAGTCTTTCCCAGCATTAGGCCCTTCTCCAGTGAGTCCTTCCTTCTCATTAGGTGGCCAAAGTATTTGAGTTTCAACTTCAGGATCTGGCCTTCTAAAGAGCAGTCAGGGTTGATCTCTTCTAGGACTGACTGGTTTGAACACCTTGCAGTCCAAGGGACTCGCAGGAGTCTTCTCTAGCACCATAGTTCAAAGGCCACAACTCTTTGGCGCTCAGCCTTTCTTATGGTCCAACATTCACAGCCGTACATTGCAACTGGGAAAACCATGGCCTGGACTATACGCACTTTTGTTGGCAGGGTGATGTCTCTGCTTTTTAGTATGCTATCTAGATTTGCCATAGCTTTCCTCCCCAGGAGCAAGCGTCTTTTAATTTCTTGGCTGCAGTCCCCTTCTGAGGTGATCTTAGAGCCCAGGAAAATAAAATCTGTCACTACCTTTATTTTATATGACCACATATTTTAAGAAACACAACTCTGGGCAACTCACAACAACAATAAAACCCCAAATACATTAAAAACAATTTAAAAAGCCAAAACCTTGTGCTTCAGCCGTTCCCCTTTACTGTTTCCAACAAAATCATCTCTAGGCTCTAATCTCACTGTATCCCAACGTTTAGGGGAAGACCCAGTTCTTTATGGCATTCTGAAAGACTAGGAGGGTAGGGATGTGCCGAATACTGGGGTGGGCTGAGACTGGGTGTTCTGCAGGAAGAAGCCACTATGGAAAAGACATACTTCCGAGGTCCTACTAGAAAGATGATAACATATCACAAATCTCAGAACATTTACTGTTTCTAATATCATCTCTCTGGTTATTTACCTTTTTATATGTAAAATATAGTAAATATTGCTAATAGATATAGATAGAACATGTAGATAGATGTAGATAGATAGCAAATATATACTCCCATAACATTGGGGATGTTATTATTGGCTTTTATGTATCTTCAAAATATCTTTTTTATAAAGCTCTGGCCATTTTTTCACTGTTTAACATTAGCCATTTCAAATTGTTTAAGTGAATTCCTTTAGTTGTCTATAAAATCCTAGATGTCATAAGCTTATCTCATGGCTTCCAAGAGTTCCTTTGCACACTGTTATAGCCATAAAAAGATGAACCAGTAAATATACTCTCCTGGAGCCCTGTTTGTGATTGCTTGCTATACTGTATGATTTGTGGCGGTAAAATTAATGTTTTTGTTCTGTTTTATAATAAACTAATTTTTTTATTTATAACATACTTTTTTACTCTGGCAAGCAGTTAAACTATCTAATACAATTGTTAAATTGTAATAACACAGTTTGAAAGAAAACATAAAAACAATGCAGATTCAAAGTAGCAACAAAAACTCAAGATGTGTTTTCATCAACAGCACTCAGTTGTGGACATTTCCTTGTATGGACTTGACTTGTTAAATCCCAGACACAGATTGATCATGACACTGAGAATTCAGCTCTTGTCACTGCATTGTGACAAGGTTTGCAAATAATCTCATACAATTTTTTAGGAAGTCTTCCCACATACTCTTAAGTTATTTTGTGATTCTGGCCAGTAAACCTGGTTGGTTTATAAAAGTACTTGAATATATGTATTGCTTACTGGCTACAGTCAACCAGATAAAACACCTAGGAAAACATGAACTGTACTAGTTATGAAAATAGTGTTTATTTATACTAATGAATGAGAAAAGAAATGCAGTAACGTGGCTTGGGCAACAAATAATGTTAATGTATTAATTTCATGCTGTTGCTAGCATAATTGAAAAAGAATCTCGGAACTGAAATTTAGAGCATCAACAAATGAGATCCCTAATTAATGATGCAGCAAAAAATATCTGTCAGAGAAAATAGCTTGAAATATCTGTTTACAGAGATAAACCATCCCAACGAACACATTAAAAAAAATAAGCCAAACATAATTCACACCCGCAGTTCCAGGAAATCTTGGCCTCTTTGCAGGGTGATTCTTTTTAATGCATACTTCATTTCTAGGTAAACAAGGAATTTATTAAAATAAAAAGTGACAGCCGCAAGCTATATGGATTGATAAATTCTATATAGTATGGATAATTTGGTTGATTTAGAATTCTCTCTTCAGATCTTAGTTAATTGAAGATATGGTAAAACACCATATTACTTATATACAGTTAGCTCTTTTTACTAACTCTCCAGGGATATTCCATAGTGTAAAAAGAATATAAATAAATATATTGCATATTAACAAACATCCTGTTACTTAAAGTTGTCTGGAACTACATATAGTGCTTAGGTTATGATGGCAGTCAGGACTGGACTTCCCATCTCTAAATGATGGAGTTGTAAAGCACAACATCATGTGACTGAGTCTAATAGCAGTGTTAATCCTGGTTGCTGTGGTAACCCCAGGGCCACTCCGGTCATTAGGTCAGTGATTCTCAACCTTTTTAATGCCGCGACCCCCAACCGGTCGTAAGTCGAGGATTACCTGGTGCAGCACCGTTTGCAGAATGGGACTTTTGGCAGGCTGAGCAGGGCAGAGACAGCCTGGATAATTCCTATTGGCTTTTGAAAGCCAATAGAATTAGACTCTATTCAAGAGAATGTATTCTATTGGCTTTCAAAAGCCAATAGAATAAAAGGGAGCAGCACAGCTAAGGAAAAGGGGGAAAAATGGCGGACTGCGTTGTTTGGCGACCCCCATGAAATGGTCGTTCAACCCCAAATGGGGTCCCGACTCACAGGTTGAGAACCACTGCATTAGGTGGAAAGAGGCAAGAGTCCCAGGCAAACAGGTCAGCAGGTGAGAGAAAAAGTGGAGAGGGTGAGTACCCCAGTGGATGCTATAGAGTGCAAGCTGGTGCTGCAGGCAGGAGAGTAGATGGCACAGGCAGGCACTAGGGAATGTGGGGAGGTGCCAGGGGCAGGACGGAGTGGCTGTAAATACAGGCTGGCCCAAATTTTGATCATCCGATTGGGGAGGGTGCAAATGCGATGGCCAAAACTTCAAGGACTGGTTGTAAATCCATTTTTTCAGTGACATTGTAACTTTGAATGGTCACTGAACAATGGACATAATCAGAGGACTATCTGTACCTTTCCCCAAATGTAGATAAGTAAAATGTATTCCTTGATTCTGTGGCTGATAAATAAAGCATTAGGCTAAATAGGACAATAATACAATGAATTATTTCTCCTATTGTTACAGGGATCTTTCTTATATTAAAATCATGGATGTTGGAAGGAGTTATCTTGTAAATCATGTAATGGATCATATCCAGAGTCGGATTGTTTACTACCTCATGAATATCCACGTAACTCCTCGTTCCATCTACCTCTGTCGACATGGTGAAAGTGAACTAAATCTAAAGGGAAGAATAGGAGGAGACACGGGCTTGTCCCATAGAGGAAAAGAGGTAGCTATGTTCGGTCTACTGTAGCTCTGTATTTTATTCCATTTAAAATTTATTTTAAAATTTAAGTAATGTTTATAAATGTGTATCATTTTGCATTTGTTTGTATCCTGAGATTTAAGGAGAGATTTGGATCCAGGCAACCAAGGCTATGGAACATTCTGCATTTTGCTTTTGAATGATAAACCAGATTTCTGTTCTGGAAAATGAATGAGATCATCTGGGCTATCCCCAGGTGTTCAGGCTTATAGAGTGGGTAGGAAATTTTGGAAATTGAAATCTACACATCTTAAAGTTGCTAAGATTGAGAGACAGTAAAATCAGAACATTCTTAAAAACTGTGTGAAATATTTCAAGAAAGACGGCAGTCAGATACAGGAACATGGGGATCTCACAGGCCTCCATTTATTTTTACTATTTAAAAAATGTAAGTCAGCCTGAAGAAATGTTCAGGAGGTTATAATTCTATTAGTAGAAGTTCGCAACACTCATGTAACATTTTATTACACCAAAATTGGAGTGCCCTCTCATTTTAGTAAATGAATATTGTGATTCTTAAGTGCAAGTCAAATTGCTTTGTTGAAGGACTAGATGAGCCTTTGAAAGATTTATTACCTTTTGACACTGAATATGAGTAGGCATAATATTATAATGTGTTTTTTTAATGATCTTTTCCAGTTTGCTAAGAGCTTGGGCCAGTTCATTAATGATCAAAACATCAAAGATCTGAAAGTCTGGACAAGTCAGATGAAGAGGACCATCCAGACTGCTGAGGCTCTGAGAGTGCCTTACGAGCAGTGGAAAGTTTTAAATGAGATTGATGCGGTAGGATGCTATTCTGTTATACACATAACTATCAGTGCTTGTGGTTTTTTGTTGAAGAAGAAGAAGATGATGATCTCCTGCAGCTTCCTGAAGTTTGGTGCCTATCAGACAAGTTTTCAGGGCTTATTTCAAATATATTAGATTGTACTGTAGCTGTTGCCTCTCTTGCTATAAAACTATAATGTTAATTATCACATTATGCTTTTAAAAAAGGTAAATGTTAGTTTGCTTCAGCAGTTTTAAAAAGTCTTTGTGGAACCTGTCCCTTCTTGATGCAGAATTATTTCTGTTGTTTCTGAACTGATGTCAGGCAGTAAACTATTTTTATTTTTGACAACTATCCCTAATTTGAAGGGATGCTTTAAAGCAGGCATGTCAAACTCCTGATGTCACGTGATGTCGTGCAACGTATCGGGATGGTTTTGCCATTGCCGGGAATGGGGTGGGTGCGGCTTCAAGATGACGCGTCTGACCCGCGGGCCGGCAGTTTGACACTCCTGCTTTAAAGCTAAGTTGCACATCAAAGTTTGTTTTAATCGTGTGAAAATAAAATGCTAGTTGTTCTGCCCTGATGTTTTATCAATTGATTGATAGATTGAATTTATTTGCCGCCCATCTAGTAGTGGATGAGTTTTCAACTTGACAGTGACATAACAGTTTTTTTAAAAATTTCTCATTTCAAATAATTCATTTTGAATGATAAATTGTTTTGTTTATGCTGTTTGTAATGTGATTAGATTTAAAAATAATTTTATTTGTTGAAATTGGCAGAAATGTGGGTTAAAATTCAGTAAATTAATTGAAATAAACGCATTAAGAATTTTGAATTGAGTTTTGAAAAACATTAGTGCTAAAGCACCTGACAATAGCTACTGTTTTTTTTCTGATGGTATTTGAAAAAATAAGCAGATTTGACCAATTAGATCAAAATGTTGTTTCCATTTTCAGGAAATTTGGGGAGGGGGAGTAAAGCTATTTGTTATGATAGGGCTCCCCCCCCCCAAGATTTGCTCAGCTCCCAACAAGAAGCTAAAGGCAGATATATTTTTACCAGAAGATATTTGGAGTGTTTGCTCTTAAGCAGGGTTTTGTTTAGTTTGGTATTGTTATTTTTATTATTATATATTTGGTTTGATTTTATTGTAAACTGCTAAGACTTAGGTTTATGGCAAGGTATCAATTTGTTTAGATAAAGAGATAAATATTTCCATGAATTGAATTTCCATTTATGCAACTTAACTTCAGAATTCATAATGAGGAAGATGATAACACAAGTCAATTTACATAGGTTATCTCTCACCAAACACTAAAACATAAGATATAATTAGAAGCTGAAAGAATAGGCTTCCAATGAACTCATGACAAAAGTGGCATTTCAGTTCAGAATCTTTGTGAGTACAGCCCAGTTTTCTCATCATTGAGCTTCGTGAATTCTTAATTTTCTTTGTTTTCATAGGGAGTCTGTGAAGAAATGACATATGAAGAAATTCAGGAAAATTATCCATTAGAATTTGCTTTGAGAGACCAGGACAAATACAGATACAGATATCCCAAGGGCGAGGTTTGTTAAATTTTACTTCTTGCAAGCTTGAAGATGCAGAAGTCTTTTTGTAAGTGTTTCAAAAGAGAAATGTTTTGAAATAAACGGAGTTTATTGCCTCTTTCTCATGAGGAAGCTTTTCTGCAACTTCTTTGTGTTGTTGCTAAAGTAGAAACCAATTTCTCGTTAGTGTAGGAAATATTAATTAACAGCAACAGTATTTCGTAACCTAAAAAGCGATTCTACACAGAGTTTAAATTTTAAGCAGGGCTGAAAGGTTTCTTAACCTAACCTGTTTTGCAAAAGGAAGGAATAAATCTGTTTCCATTTTGGTTTTTTGGTTCAGTGGTTTTGATGAGGGGTAGTGCTGGCCATCCTGCAGCAACACACCCAGGGCCCTCCGATGGTTCATGCATTAGCGTTTTCATGTGCTTTCTCTAAGTAGAGCAACAAAATTTAAAACCACATGTTTGAGGCTTAGTTAATTGCTTGTTAGCCTGTCTTTTTACAGGCTGCCATTAAAAGCCAAGCATTAATCAAAAGCACCAATAAAAGCAGCTGCTAACAGTATTTGTTAAAAGTGCAACATGCCTTAAATCCATGTATCGTGTGTTGGCTGAGTGATCATAATGTTCAAAACACTGCAGGAATACAGATGGCATAGAGGCAGTGAGGTTATAATGGATGTTATGTAAGATAGAAACATTTTGGGAGCTGTTTGCTGATTGTAGAGAGAAAGGATGTGTGTTTTCCAGTCAATAGCTGTACATCTTCTTAATGACTACCGCTGGGTTAACTTTGACTGTATACTGTTCACGTGTTCCTTAGCAAAGCAAAAAATTATGTTTTGGTAAAGCATCAAGGTGTTTGCTGCCCTCCACTTTATCAGCTGATCTGCTTATAGTAGCGTTCTCAAACTTCTTTTGTTCAATGTTTGTGGGTATGAAAAATACAGTTTCTTAAAAATTCATTTCGGTAGCAGAATTCCAGTTTTAGAAAACTGTCAGCAAGAAAACGTTTCATTATTTTTACATGAAAACAAGGTGGATGCTAGCTGTGTTTACAAAGCTTCTGACACAGGGAAAAATAAATATTAAAGAATAAACATTTGAAACAGACAAAGAATAAAGTGACAGAATCAGTCTGTAATCTTCTGCAGCTCATATTCTGTGGTGTGGAAACCATCAGATACAGAAAAACAGGCACAGATTGCTTAGGAAAGAATGGATACAGAGAGGAAGAATGGATTTTGAAAATCATCAGTATTTACTTGGCAGTTGCCATTAATCTACTACTTGGATTTTAAGCACAGGACAATGATTAAATGTTACAAAGAAGAAATATCTCTGTAGGCTTGGATCCAGGCAGAGCATAAACCTCTCTAATATGTATCAGTGCAGCCTAAAGTAAAGATGCAGCTGCTTTAAGAGTTGCATTGATTTTAATGAGTGGTTTCCTAAAAGCATCTGTATTTTTTTTCAGATTCACATGGAAGTTTTTAAAAAGATAGGCTTCTTGCTGAATAGCACATCTTATGTGAGATCAGAACCATTTGTAAATTATTATTTTAAAGAGTACACAACTGGTACTATTTAACCCACCTTAGAGCAAATCAACTTTATAATAAAACTATTATAATTTATACATATATCCATATTATTGTGATTTTTTTTTGCTATTGTTTTTCCAGTCCTATGAAGATCTTGTTCAAAGGTTAGAGCCAGTAATTATGGAGCTGGAAAGGCAGGAAAATGTGCTTGTAATCTGTCACCAAGCTGTTATGCGTTGTTTGCTTGCTTACTTTTTGGATAAGCCTGCAGGTAGGTACCTTACAAATGGCCACAGAGAACCTCAAGTTAGTCAGTAGTAACTTTCATTTTGATACCAGATAATTGCAGTCAGGCGGTACATATCCTAAATAAAGACACCAATGCATCACTAGTTCTCAACCTGTGGTCCATGGACCCTTGGGGGGGGGGGAAGCATGATGTCATTACAGGGTCTGCGAAGGCTTGAAGAAATGTTATGATTTAAATCTTAAGTCTTGGTGGTCCGTGGTCATGGTCTGTGGCCACAAAAGGTATTTAAAGGGTATCCATAGTGAAAAGGTTGAAAACCACTGTTTTAGGTAGATTAAAATATTTTTATTTGTTCAGTGATTTCAGTTTATCATTTCTTTATTCTTTTGTTTGTCTGGATAAGTCTTAAAATCTTATCCATGTCTGTTAGCTATGGTAGCATCGCTTGTATGCTCTTTGGTTTTGACAAATGGAAGCTGTTCTGAAAGTTTATTTAGTGAAGTGAGATAAAAACATTAACTGATAACAAACTTTACAGTCAATAGTCAGAAGATATTCTTTTGTTTATTGTATTTTTCCCTTTTCAGAACAATTGCCTTATCTCAAGTGCCCTCTGCATACTGTCTTAAAGCTAACTCCAGTGGCTTACGGTAAGATATTCAAATTTAAGCTAAGCAAATTAATCAACTTTATTGTGAAAAATGTTTCATTAGGTTACATCTATTAGTTTGTGTATCAAAACAAATCATGTGTACTTGTTAGGCAAGTCATAGTTTGCATTAAACTGTTCAGTTCATCATAAACCAAAATGTTTTAAAATAGACATTGCTTCTATTCTTGAGATAAAGCTGGGAATTTGAATAACTAGATCCTGCCATACAACACTCTGGTGTGAATTACTCTATGGCCACTCAAAATGATTCACATAGCTTCCTTGGTTAGTGTTGGCTTTTCTTTAGAAATATTTTTTTAGTATTCTTGCACATACTTGGATTTTAGTAAGCCTGTTCATTTCTCTGTTGTGTGTATTTCACACCACCTTGTTTCAAAAAGATAGAATCCAAAAAGCTAATGGTTGACTGTAGTGGACTGTTTCCAGAGTCTAAGAGCTGTAGCTGAAATGTAACTTTTAATAAGATAGAATGGCAAATTATTAATTATAGGAAGAAACAGGCTACCAAAGAGCCTGAATGATGAGGTAGTTCATGGATATGCCCTTATCGTTTTATTAGTAATAATACAGAAGTGGATGACCACTGCCTTCTTTTCTATTTTTTTTTTTCAACTTTTCCATCTAGCCTGCAGTTGTCATGTAGTCTGTTGAAATCCCGTTCAGATGCTAACCTGGCCTGACTCTGCTTAAGCTTACTTATTAAACCTACTTTTTACTTTGTGTCATGTTATTTCAGCCTCCAGTGTGAAATGTGAAACAAAGTTGTAATAAAAATAATTTTAAAATACCACTTAGTCTAAATAAAAAGCACCATTATTATTTCTTGTTAAAAGAAGAGGGAGGAGTGTGGATATTAAAATTTGGAATTTTTGAAGAAAAACGTTTAACAAGAGAGATGCTCCTGTAACTTACCAAATAAAAAGAAGCCTGTAGTGACATCTAGTGTCCAAAATGCTACAGTTATTGCAGTTAAACATATTACTGGACGTTAAAGGCAGGCTTCCCTTTTTAGAATGTCAAGATCTCCCGCTGGAATAGAGTTCAAAATTAAGCAAGGGCAAGCCAGTAGTAGATAAAACAAGAGCAAATCCCACTCTCTGTTAGCACTGATGATGTTACCTAACTTGGTTAATGAAACATCTGCCACAAAGCTCAGAGAGCACCAAAGATCCCACAAAATCAAGCAATCTCTGGATAGAAAAACCACCCAGTAAAATTGAAGGACATGTGTGTTCAGCACATGGCTTAGAACAAGAATATATTTTCAATATCAGAATTGAACTTGTGCTTACACCCAAAAAGCCACTCTCAATTTCCTTTCTCCAATTCCAGCAACCTGATTTAAAGGCATGAAAGCCTAATCAGTATTTTTAGGGAAGATACTCAACATGCTCTCAACATACAATCAAATGTTTACAAGTCATTACAACCCCCCAAATGTCTGTCAATATGAATTTTGTTACAGCTGCTCAAAAGTGCTATCCATGACTCCCAGGAGAAAGCTCGAAGTTGCATTGGAAGGAGTACTATATTTGCCACTTAGAACCTCTTAGAACCAATGTTGCCAGAGTGTCATAGGAGCAAACTTTGTAAAGCAACCGGAACTATTTTTAACCAGTATTGGTATCAAATTCTATTATCCATTGGTTATGCTGTTGATATTGTTCTTTTTTAGTGAATAAATTGAATTAAATACCAAAATGTTGACTTCTACCTACAGGTTGCAAAGTGGAATCTTTATTTCTAAACGTTGAGGCTGTAAATACACACAGGGATAAACCACAGGTAGGTCTTCTTAACAAATGTGAATTTAAAACTTTACAAGAAGCTTGAAAGAAGTATTAAAGTAGAAAACCTGCCAGTAACAAAAGAGTTAAGCACTCCCTGCCCTTTCTTAGCTACATCTTTCTAATTGCTTCTTCCAAAGTTAATTTTTTAAATGTACTTTAAAAAAAAATAAGCTAGCCAGGAGAGCATTGTAAAAAAAAAATTGAGCTTAATATCTTTGATTCCTGGAATGAGGATTCACAACCACCCAGAGTTTTATATTTGAGAATACTGATAAGACAGTTGTATTTGATTAATGGAATGTTGTGTGTTTTCTTTAATGCACTTTAATGATTTTTTTTAAAGAATTCTGCATTAAGCTCATGAAGATGTTAAAGATGTTATACAGGATTTCAGGGGTGAATGGCTTCCATACATGCCCATATCCCTCAATACAGTGTAGACAACACCTCTGTAGTATTCAAATATTGTATATTACCATTCAATGAGAGATTCCATTCTTTTAATGTAAGGAAGAAAAGTTTTTAGATTTCTAGGAATAGTACTTTCTCTGTAACCATCTTGTCCTGATCTTAATTTCAACAGACTCTGTTTTGCCTTGTGCTCTACTATAGCCACCCTGACTATGTCATATCAAATATCACTGCAGCAGTTCAGTTTTCGGTACCTGTATGTTTTATGTGAAATGTACTACATTATTTTAGAATTTTTTTTGTTATCTAGATTTTGAAAGCCATTTCTTGCTCATTCTAGAACAACAGCTGCAAAGATTTTTGTGTCCAGCTAGTTTGAAAGCTTATTTTTGATATTAAAATTCTGGAGGAAACATAAGTTCATAAGCACTTTTTTAATGGAAAATAATGATTATTCTCTTTTTCATACACATAGACACACATCATTGTTTAGTGATTGACTTCAGTTTGTGTCTGTTGGATTTATATGAAAAGTCTCATCTATTTTACCCATGCACTCTAAAATGAGGATGGAACGTTCTGCTAACAAAAACATAAACACAATTTTGACTCAGTTAAAATGTCACACAAATGTTTCTGTTTGTAGCATTTCTGAGCCATTTGTATGGCTATGCTACCAATACTGTGATTTACTACTAGGTCCATATAGTCAAAAATTGATTTGTTTAATTTTGGTTTAATTATTATGTGAACAAGCACTTGTAGTTAGTATCCCTTAGCTCGTGGCTGGACATCTGGTGATTTGTTCATTAAACCAAAATATAGTTTAATAAGATATATGAACCTAGTCAGTAAGACAGGACACCATCATTGTACTCTTCCCATTGGCTTCAGTGGGAATCAAGTAGATCAAACTAAATTAATAACAGGAAAATGGAGAGAGAGAATAAATAAATGAATCCATAATAGTGTGTTCAATATGTATTTTCATGTGTATTAATTTTTTAAAAAGTTTCAGAAAAAAGAATATTCAGAAGCAGAATTTTTCTTTTAAGTACATTAATAAGTACTTTAGGGGACATTGATGATCACAACTGCTTTGGTTCAAATGGCTTGTTAGCTAGTTTATGTCAGTTAAAATAGTTGTTTGTAAAGAAAATTTATAAATGTCAGTAATAGAGTTCCATAAAACAAATGGAAGTTTTATCTCTGATATAAGTTATCTTGTATTTTTCTAGAAGTCCCCTTTTATCAAAATTATCAGAGTTTTTGATTGCACAGTGCTCTTATAGTTCTGTATAAGTTGGAATGGATTTGCTAATTAATTGAAGTCTTTTAGTAGGCAAAGGAATGTAACAATATTCCTTTTAATTGTGAGGTTGATTGTTTTAGTAAAGGAATTACTTTCTTCTTCAGTCTTGAATTTCTGTCTGTGCCTTTGGAAAATTACGCAGCAGACTTTTAGGTTGTTAGCCTGAGCAGACCAGCCAGTGGCTATGGGACCATTGGCATAGGTGAAATGGATATGCAAGGTCATTGGGAAATGGCCATGGAAGCAAACGCCCCCCCCCCCAACAGCTTTCTGGTTGTGCAGTTCTTTGGTACTTTGAGAAGAGACACTTTGGGAATGCCTTGCACAGCCTTCCCAGTGACTATTTTTATGTAACTGTAAACATCTTCTGTAAGGGTAAAACTTCTGTTCATTTTCATTGTCTCTTCATATTTCTCATAGAAATGACAAAATAATGTTTGGGGGAATTGTCATTTCATATTTGTTTATGGAAGCAGTATCTTAACCTGCATTATTTGATTTGATAGTTAAGAATTTTTGCCAAGATGGATCACATCTTTGTCTATTCTTAGGGACAATTTTCCCATGTTTTTTGTGGCATGATTTAAGTGTGCATAGCATGACACCAGATTGATTTGGATTAGAAATTTAGCTCTGTAGTATATGAGAGGTTAGAAAGACAAAAATAAATCAGCACTGAAGGCTTTTATTGTTCTTCATTGGTTTAATTTATGTATAAAACTTTTATAAAAGTCTACACCAGGGGTTCTCAACCTTGGCAACTTTAAGACTTTTAACTTTTAACTTTAAACTTTAAGCTTTGCTGGCTGAGGAATTCTGGGGGTTGAAGTCCACAAGTCTTAAAGTTGCCAGGGTTGAGAACCCCTGGTCTACACATTTTAGCTTGTGGAACCTAAGGAAGTGGACAAGTCCCTCTCAGCTGCTAGTGCGGCCACTTGTACTGTATATTAGGTTGCCCTTCCTGGCTCATTAAAGTTGCATGGCAGGGGATGGGTGGTAGTTAACTCCTCCTTGAAAGAGGGCGTGTTTCCACCAACTGCACTCCTTCTTCAAAGGACCATCACTCAACCCAACCAAGCTGGATACTTTTTGCCCAGTTTCCAACCTTCCCTTCTTAGGGAAGGTGGTGGAGAGAGGGGTAGCAGGGCAGCTGCAGAGGACCTTGGATCAAGCGGATTATCTAGATGCTTTTCAGTCGACATTCAGGCCCAGGTTTGGGACTGAGACTGCATTGATTGTGCTCATGGATGGCAGGAGTGGGATAGAGGTAATGCATCCATCCTGGCTCTTCTTGACCTCTTGGTGGCATTGAATATGATCAGTCATGGTATCTTTCTTGGCTGACTCAGGACTTGGAGTTAGTGGCACTGTGTTGTGCTCGTTCTCCTCCTTATTCCAGGGTCAGTTTCAGTCGGCATGGTTAGGTGGGAAGAGAACCAGACTGCAGCCCCTACTTTGTGGGGTGCATCAGGATTTGGTTTTCTGTCTTCTCCTATTTAACATCTACATGAGTAAAGTGATCCATCAGTTTGGGATGAGACATCATCAATATACAGATGACACCCAGCTTTACATCTCTGCTCCAATCCCCTTGACTGATGCTGTGAACATCCTAGCTCCAGTGTCTGTAGGCTGTCTGGGTCTGGATGGAGCTCTGATTCAACCGTTTCAAGATGGAGTGGCTGTGGGTATTTGGGCCCTCTTGAGACAAGGTTCTTCCATCTCTAGTTCTGGATGGGATGGCACTACTGCAGGCAGACCTGATGCACAATTTGGGGGTGCTCCTAGACTCAGGGCTCTGGCTGGAAGAGCAGATGGCAGCTGTGGCTAGGAGAGCCTATGCAGACTTTTGAATAGTGCGCTAGTTGTGCCCATTCCTGCATCTCTATAGAACCAAGGAACTATCCACATGTATATCACCATGTTGTTAGGATATACATTCATATTATTGATCCTTACCCAGTCTGTGATCAAGAACATTTTCTGCAACTCTGGGGTCCTTTTGGTTTGGCAGGGAGAAATTTAAGGGCATGCCTTGAAGCAGGAGCCAGAGTGGTAGAGGCAGCACTGAACTCTGTTTTATCATTTTCTTCACTGTGCTCTGGGCACTTCCTTATTGGACCTTTCTTCTGGACTCAGTCTGGGTTTTCTATTAACTGGAGAGCTATTTGTCATCTTACTACTTACCTGGACAGAAAGGGAGTGTCTATGATCTGAAGTATATAGAGGAGCTTGTCACAGAAACTATGCATTATTCCAACTACCAAGAGCCTGAAGATAGGAACAGGCAGGTGGGGAAGTCTGATACTTGCTATAAGGGCTGGGGTGGTTGCTGGTGATCTTGATATATATAGTATGGGTGGATATATGGGGTGCCTTTGAAGGAAGAGCTAGGGAAGGGGGAATAGGGAGTAGAAAGCGGAAACGTCAAGATTGTGACAGGCAGAGATAGGTAGGGTCAGAATCTGAGGGGGCTATTGAAATTGCAACTTGACAGCTTGTCCAGAACCCAGTACTTGACCCATAAACCAAGTTATTGTGTCCTCAGTTGCCTTGAGCTCTGTCTGTTGCTTTTGAATGCCAGGTTGGTCTGTACATAATCTGTTCTCATTGATGATTTAATCATGGATGGGGTGACTTATGTGGCATACATAATCATGGGCTTGGAGGTAGGAGTTCCTTGTTGCCAAGGTTTTAAGTTTGGCATAACTTCCATTTTCAGCTGAAAAGGAATCAGAGTAATATTAGTAAAATGAGCGATGATAAAGCTAAAGTTAAGACTAATGCAAAGCAGTCGCTGGCTAAGAACGTTTTATTTATAAAACAACCTGTACTTAAAATGGACTGCCTATTACTAAAAATGGTGGACAGAGTTCTCCTTCATTGAATCAATAAACCACTGAAGCTGCACAATTTTTTTGTGAATAGATGAAGGTGTACATTTTCAATGTATAGCCTCTTTTCAGCAGTTTGATAGCTTGAGAAAAAAGAACACTATTCACTATTTTCAATAACAGGCAACCCTCTTGTAAGTATGAGTCCCAGCCTACAAATTTGAGTTAAAGACAAGAGTTAGGAACTGAACTCATTCTTTTTTTTTTTTTTTTTAAAAGTTTATTTATAAAACAGTTAAAACAAAGATGGACATAACGTAACATTCCAGTGTATATATTCCTAACAATTTGTTCCTCATCATACATATAATTCTTAATCTCTATATATACATATTTTTCTATACAATACAGTGTCTAATTTGTTTCTCTATATACTAACATACAGTTTTATATATCTCTATCTTAACACTAACTTAAAACCCGAACAGTTCTCCTTGATTCACACCAACAATAGAATTTATCCCAGATTTCAAAGTAATCTGACTCTGTCTTGTCCTTCATTTCCATTATGAACCTATCCATATCAGCACACGATAGGATTTTATATAAAATCTCTTCTTCTGTTGGAATTTCTTTATTCCTCCAGTTTTGTGCATAGAACTGAACTCATTCTTAATCTGGGGACTTCCTGGATCCAAAGGAATTAATACTGTAATACTGCACGGCTTTCTGTACATAGATCGGTAGCCCATAAGGTTGCCAATGTTAAGCTGGAACCACAGAATTATTGTCTTCTGTAAATCAATAGTCTATGTTTATAAGAAAAATGGGCACAAATTTTGCTTGGAGAATTGCAATCATCCATTAATTTAAATCAGGAATTACATGTGGAAACACTGATTGGCAGTCCTGTACGATAAATATTTTCTATATTTTTATTGTTATACAGAATGTAGACATTGTCAGACCTCCTGAGGATGCCCTTATAACTGTCCCTGCTCACCAGTGAATCCTGTTTCCTGATCAGCTATGAAAGATGTGGTGCTGTTTTTATCATACTTTATTAAATTTCAAACAATCATTCTAATCACTTTGGAATCAAATGCAGATATAGCAGTTTTTATGTATTGAATGACTTGGAGATCAAATTGTTTTAGACCAGTGGTTCTCAACCTTTTTAATGCCGCGACCCCCAACCGGTCGTAAGTCGAGGACTACCCAACCAGTCATAAGTCGAGGACTTTCCCTGCCCGGGAGCACCGCACATGCATGGTGTTGCCCCCTGTGCGGGCCAAGGTGTAGCTGGCAAGCGGCAGAGACAGCGCAGGCCGACCACCGGCTGGGCCACCAGCTGGCCCAGCCCAAGGGAGGTAAGGCACCCGCCGGGCCCTATGTGCGCCAGCAACCCTCCCTGCACCCGCCGGCCTGCCACCTCCCACCCCTGGCCCTCTTTTACTTACATTTTTAGTAGTTGCTCAGCAGGGAGGGGTGGAAACTTACAGACAGCTCGCCTTCGCTGTAGACAATTTGCAGTACCATTTGCAGAATGGGACTTTTGGTGGGCTCAGCAGGGCAGAGACAGCCTGGACAATTCCTATTGGCTTTTGAAAGCCAATAGAATTAGACTCTATTCAAGAGAGTCTATTCTATTGGCTTTCAAAGGCCAATAGAATAAAAGGGAGTAGCACAGCTAAGGAAAAGGGGAAAAAAATGGCAGACTGCATTGTTTGGCGACCCCCGTGAAATGGTTGTTTGACCCCAAATGGGGTCCCGACCCACAGGTTGAGAACCACTGTTTTAGACTATTTGAATTGTTGAATCATTGACAAGTTATTGTTCACTTCTGCTGAAGTTTGATTATTTGCTTTTGCAATATAACTTAATTATTGCTGATTTTTAATTTGATATTTTATGTCCAGTAAAGTTCAGTTTAGTACTTTGAACATCTAAGTTATTAATCGTTACAATATATCTAACAGTTGCAATAAATACAATAGAATCAGTGAGAAGATAGCTGGATATTTTTCAGGTGATAAGTGTGTTTAGTCCAATATCATTGACCAATGTAATTCTAGCATTAGAAATTGTAATTCTAATTGATTTTAATAATGTATCTAAGAAGTTGTTTCCTATTAGTGGGCAGTATTTTTAAAATGTTGTTGGCCCATTTCCAACTTCTCGTCTTTACTTCCTAGGCTTCAAAGATTTGCTAAACCAGCTGAAGAGCGCTGGCTTGGTTCCAAATTCTAGTCTACACAGGAGCAGTATTATGATTATTGCTTCTTTCTCAGCAGTCTTGTGTTTTTACATCTTTCAGCTCTGGCTCTTGATCTGGTGTTGCCCTTGCTGCAGTAGATTTTGGAAAGCTTCAGGGAAATCATAATCAGGATGTAGAGTTGCATGTTCCCAGGACCTCCACATTTGCTTTGCTGAATCCTGTCTCTACTCACTTTAGGCTATCATGGCTCATATTCATCTTTATGGCTTCTCACTAGGACTATCATCTGAGATGCAAAAGCCAGATGACCATCAGATGGCAGCAAACGCACAGTGCTTTAGGTACCTCTTTGCTGCCTTCTTGTGGCTGTCTAAAATTTTGCATGCATCATCTCAGATTGAGCCCTCTGTGGGCATCAACTATAATAGCATATCCCAGCAAAATCTTCTTGACATAATGTGTCATACTTATGTTTAAGATTGAATGAAAAAGTTGGTGCAAGAGGGAGTCTCATGGGCACTAAAGAAAGATCCATTTTGTAATCTTTCACTGTATCACTACTCTGCTAGCCTGTTTGAAAGTAGGTCTTTTGGTAAAAGGTTGTGCTGTTTAATAGTTTGTTTTATTCAGGGTTGCATTTAATGCAAAAAGGGCCTATATGCAGGAAAAGCAACATTTATTACAAGTCTTCTCTAGTGAAAGAAAAAATAAAGCAGTATTATTGATGAATCTGCCATGTGATTTCCTAACATGGGAAGTTGTAGTGCTTCATAGATTGTAGCCTAGAAAAAGAAACTTGGTTGAAAGAGGAGGAGAGGTAGGTGGATTTAGTTGAGTGACTCTCAGAAGTTGTGATTTTCCTGTGCTTGTGCGTGTATATTGAAAAAAAAAACTTTGCTTATTTGTTTGGGTTATTTGAAGAGTTAAAAATGTGGTGTGCATGATCCTGGATTCATGTTAGTTAATGATGAAAAACAGTCTTCTGCTATACTTGTTGAAGCCAGTATGTGGGTCTCAAGTGTTCATATTAAATAAAACCCATCCTCTCTTGAGTTGGCAGTAACTTGAGCTTCTAAAAAAAGCTTACTGACTATGTCAACCAGTGGGCAGCTGCTATTATTCAGTGCATTATCTTGAACCAGACTTTTTATGAATACTCCTGCTCAATTCCAGTGTTACGAGAGAACAAAAATTGTTGACTCTTTTTAATATATTATCTGTAATTTTATGTATCTATAACTTTTGGTAAAGTCCCAAACCCCAAATTTTGTCATCTTTTCTCATGGCTTCTTAGTCTATGTGTTTTATTCTATGTATCATGGTAACTGCCTGGGGAGCATGCATCTCTAGAATAAAATATGGGCCTGCAACAGTAGTTCACCTTCAGAAACATACGTAATTTATTAGATTTAAAGATCTCTAAAGGCAACTAATCTCCAGATGTGGTTTAGCAAAATTACTCATTTATTGCTGCTTAAAAGGGCATTTTTCTTAGAGCAGGGGTCTTCAAACTTAGCCCTTTTATGACTTGTGGACTTCAACTCCCGTAGGGCTGGCTGAGAAATTCCAGGAGTTGAAGTCCACAAGTCATAAAAGGGGCAAGTTTGAAGACCCCTGTCTTAGAGTTAATCTCAGTGCAGGGTTGCTCTCTTTAGTCCCTACACTTTTCAAGAGAATCTTCTTGGTCAGGCCAGAGTTAAGTATGCATTTCCTTGGACTGTGAACCCCTTGTAGCTTGCTAACCAATTCTTCTTATTTTATTTCCAGAATGTGTGCGTGAGCCGCTCTCGAGAAGAAGCCTTGAGGACTGTACCTAATAATTTGTAGCTCTCTGGACTCCCAGCACTGTCCGGTGTCAACATTAAGGACACTTCTCAGGGACACGACGATGATGAGAGCCTTAGAAGGAGACAGCCAGAAAGGCAGAAAAATGCCTGCTCTCTTCTTTTAAAATGGATTTCAAGACAAACTGAGCATTAAAGGCAAAAATGTACCAAGTATTTATGGAACCCAGGATGAAATTAGTTTTTAATTTAATATATTTTGTTTTCAGCCTGTCATTTTTGATCATGAATGTTATATGTACAGGTGTTGTTTTGAGATTCTTCTAGAATTAGAATATTTTCTTAAGCTGGTCTTTCTGTTAAAAACAGTCCTCCTCTGATTATTTTATTCAAACCTTATGCCCATGAAATTTGATGTGCACAAAAAGTATTTTAAACCTTTTCATCTACTAGACAAGATATTTATCATCTCCATCAAACTTCAATTTGTTTTCATTTCATAATTACAGTGCTTTGGTTGATAACACAAAAAACTAAATGTTTATAATATATTCAATATTATAAAGTGCACTATTAAAATTTCCAGTTTTGGGGTGGGGCAATAATGTTGTAGCAGTTGGTATTTATAACACCAACTTTCTAAATAATTTTATTAAAGGTTCTGTTTCCATTTTAGCATTAAAATATTTTCTCTTTTATGCTCCTACATTATAAAGTGCTGCAGAGCCTCCTAGATAATTTATTCAAGTGATTTTTTTTATCAAAAATAACAGCAGATTTCTTCCTACTTCATATACAAAGTAGAACCATTTTCTAAAGCCTTTTTTTAAAAAAAATAATCTCTAATTCTATTTAAAAATACTGATGGATAGTCAATTAGTCAAAGTTGGCCTGCATATTATTCATAATTTCCATAAGCACTATTTTATATGGAAGTCCCCAACCCCTGGGCCATGACCCATTTGAAACTGGGCCGCACAAATGGTGGGCAAGCATGCACAACTCCATTTGTGTGAGCTGTGTGCATGTTTGTGAACCATCCCCTTGCCCCCAGCCGATGCCAGTCCCTAAAGCCAGAAAGGTTTGGGACTGCTGATTTTATATATTATTCTTTGAGGAAATTCCTGTAAAGCCTGTGAAAATTAAAATAATCTTACATAGACAAGAATAACAATATGGAACGTGGTGGTTAAAAGTCCAAAAATCTTATTGCTGCAATGTGCAGCACCAGTCTTGAGAAACACATATGACTTTAAGAAGTTCTAGTGAGCCAATAATATTGATGAACCTCTTCCGTTTTCCCTTTAAACCAAAGATAAAGTATTAGCTTGTTTTGAATGTTTCAAAAGTAGGCAGAGTTAAATTGAAAGATATTTTTTTATTGGAGGAGCTAGCAGATGTCATGCACTGAATACCATCAACAAGTTCAGGTAATGGTGGAAGGATTTACTCCCAAAGTAAATAACAATGACAGTTTTTCAAATTGTCTTTTAAGATTTTGCAAGTATATTAAATCATTCAACTTAATCCATTCTTGCCTGAAACCTTCTGAGACATCCGTGTCCTTTTCTGAGACATTTCAAAATGCTGAAGATTTGGAAATGGCACATGATTTCTGCCTTTTTAATTTTTTATATGCTTTTAAAACATTAATTGGGAGTATGGACACTGAGATGCTTGCAAGAGCTTTGTTGCTAAGCCCTGGTTTAGTATTCTGGCGTTCTTTTATAAAAGAGAACCAGCACATCCTTCAACCCTGTCGCCACCATCATCATCATCATCTTTGGGGATTAGCATCTACTGCTCCTCCTCCTGTATGGATTGGGAGGAAAGCATAAGAGACATGGGACCACTGCTCCTGTAGTTGGATTCTCAAAGATGCACAGAAAAATGCAGGTTAATTTGCAGAATTTTAACGTCCTGCTTTCAAATGGAATTTGTACAGAAGCAATTCCTCTTTGAGTTTGCATGTTAAGTCATGTATATATTTGTATTAAGTCATTATATAATGTCATTATTTGTGTGATAGAAATCAGGCAGAAGATTAGATACCTGAAACAAAAATTAGTTTTGTCCTCACTAATTGGAAGTGTATTTTAAAATCCCCTGTCTATATAGATATCTTATCGAGCCATACTACCTTAGTGGTGAAAGCTCTGTGCAATGTACTGTGTTAGCTTTGCAGATAAGGCTCAGTTTGTTTCTTTATTTTTATGTCGCTGGTGCTATAATGTATGCTGTGGCCAGGCTGTGAACTCCTTGTTTTGCAATGCATTCAGTGCTGAAGAAATAAGCCAGAAAGTCAAACTTACGTCAGAAAGATAAACAATAGTATTAAAATAGAAATTATTTAACTAACATATAAAAAGCACTTGAGCTGTATTGTATCATAAAATAATTTTTGCATTGTAAAGTATTTATTCAGGTAGATAATCATTTACAATGTTTACCTGACTGGAAGGAATTCTCCCCCTACCCCAATATCTCTGAATTCAGTCACTTAGTGCTATTGAAAATAACATAGAAGATGAGAGAGGCTGCTTTTCTGTAATGCCTAAACTCTCTCTCTTCTATCCCCATCCAAATATATTTCCCAAAAGTTTTCTTGTTTTTATTTTCCCGGGAAGCCACCCCAAAACTCCATTCCATCCATTTTGCCCCTTTTCCCCATTTCCATTAGAAGGAAGGAGGGAGGGAGGAGATTCTGTGTATGCATACGTACATATTTGTCTGTGTAAGACTGATTTATATGTGAAAGAATGATGTGCACACAGGGAATCAGTTAATAATAACGTTTGTCCCAATCCTGTCTTTATTAAGACTCTGTTTTTAGAAGATATATAAGCACACCTGCATAGATGCCTAACATATACAAGTGATGTCATACATAAACATTGGAGAGGTGTGGACATCTCCAGGATGTCATTTGGAGTGGCAATCATAAGCTTGACATAGTATGTAATGTGTTTTTTCTCCCATTTTGGGGGGATGGGTTGCCTTCTCTTTGGATAAATACGGGCAGTCCTTGGCTTACATTCAGCAACAATTTGAACCCATGACAGTGTTCAGCAAATGGTTCTTACAACATGTCCTCTGAAATCCAGCAATTGCTCTGCTCCCTCTGTCACAAGATCACAATTTCTGACATTCTCTGCCAGCTTCCCACAAAGTTAGTAAGAAGCCGGCAGGAAGTCAGAAGTCAGTGTCATGCGAGGTCCTTGTTTAACAGCAACCTGGGCTGTCAGAACTGCCATCACTAAGTAGTCCCAATTGCTATCGTAAATTGAAGATTACCTGTACGGTACTAGAAGGGACCAGAAAAAAACCCATTGCTATACTTTAATAGGTCTCTCTTATGCAGCAGTTGTGTTTTATCATGATACTTTTTGAGCTTCTCTGGATGTGGGCCACTGCCGGGGGGGGGGGGTAATTTAATTCTCTAAAAGCTGAGAGTTAACCAGAAGAAAAATGTGTAGATGTATAGATCTGTTTTGAATTTTGTAGAAAATATAATTTACTCATTTCTAAATGAAGCCAGTAGACTAGCCTTCATTGAAAATGTGTCATTACTTCATAGATTCCCTTTCCTGAAGAGAAATATTTGTTTGCATATCTTCATATTTTTTTAATGTGTACAACTTGGTGGCTAAATATTTAATGTATAATAGATATTTTTATAGGCCATATCTAAATATACTTTGTTAATTGTGATCTATTTAGAGAAAAGGCCATATAACCAGAAAAAAAATCATTATTTGCAATACAATTATAAATTTATGTTGATACTTGAAAAGACTAAGAAGTTGTTGATTCTGATTTAACAAGTTGTGATCTTAAATACAAAAACTTCTTGAAATTAGTTGCACTATCTTCCAAGTAAATAAGTCCAAAAATCATAATCATAAATCATAAAAACTCTCTACTATCAGCTTCAAATAAATAAACTTGTAATGGCCTTCAGAATACCTGTTGAATATTTTGTTTCACAGGACTTACTACCTTTTTAAGTGTAAAAAGTGAATTATGGAAATGTGAATTTTAATCAAGAAGCCGTTATTAGCACTCGCTTAATGTGTGAAAATAGCCTATAGGAATAATGTGGAAATGAGAATGTTATAAGTATTTTTTTTCTCAATTTATATGGTGGATTCATATGATTTCGAATTAAATTTTAATTCAGACATGATTGTTCATTTATTTAATGCAGATTTTTCAGCTATAGTTGGGCAATTTATTACTTGTCGTAAGAGGTTTCCTGATATTTCTCCAAAACAATAAAATCTTAGTTCTAAATTAAAGTATACTTTAATTTCTTTATAGGTTGATTTTTGCTACTATACTTAAGGTACGTAATCATTAGATAAATGTTTGCAAAAAAGTCGTCCAAGAAAACACATTTTGATGATATAGTACAGAGATCCCCAACCTTTTGGGCACCGGGGACCAGTTCCATGGAGAAAAGTTTTTCCATGGATCTGAGAGTGTGTGGTTTTGTGTGCTGTCTGCATCCCATGGATGAGGCTTTGCTTATTTGTGCAGATCAGTTGCTGGCATGCCGCGGCCTGGTACCAGTCCATGGACCGGGGGTTAGGGACCCCTGATATAGTACATTGCTGTATTTACATAAAATACACTATTTTAAAATAAGTGAATAAAAATGTCAGTTTACTTTAAAGACTCAAAATTTCATGTCAGGTATGAACAATTCTTGTGGAATTTGACTGCAAACTTGCAGAGTTTACTGCATTTAATTATATAAATATCAATGAAATATCATCTGGTTATCAAGAATCCATTCAGTTATAATAATGCTTCTGCTGACTTTAAAGACAGCGAAACAATGTATGGCAGGTACTTGAGATTGTGACTATGCCCTTTCTAACAGTAGTTGTGGTTCTGCTTATGCCAGTTTTATTCAGCAGCTTTGGGCCCCACTGACTTGTGCAGTATTACTGAGACTGCCCTTTGTGATGGGTATAATAAGCAAGGTGTACAAAATTGATTTAACAAGCTTCACATTCTCGGTTTATTCCCTGGACATTTGAATTTGTTTAGCAATTCTCCAGCACTGGAGACGTAGAATCCACCAATGGGTTAACTCTGCCTTCCTGCCCATTAGACCAGGTCAGCCAACTTGTCAACGCCCATCCTGGGGTAGCCACTCTTGACTCGGTCTTCAGCCCAGGCGGACGTGATAGATAGGTAATAGAGGCTAAAATATTGGTGGATTCTGCTCATCTCACACCACAGTTATTTCTACAGTGCTGGGACCAGCACTGTGTAAAATAACCTGTAGAAGGCTTGGGGAGGTGGGTCTTCCTTTTCTCAAACCTGCGGTCTCAGCTCACCCCTAAGGGAAACCCCTCTCCAGCTGCTCAGCCCTATAGTCGGAGCCTACCCGAACCCCCTGGGGAGTGGGGATTTCTCTCCATTTTCCCTCCCCACTCCGTTAAGCTCCCTCTTAAGGGAAATCCATCTCCAGCTGCTCAGTGCAGCAGCGGAGCTTCTCCAAACGGTGGTGGGGATTTCCTTTTCATCTCCCTCCCATGTCCATTGCTAGAACAACGGAGAGCCGGCTGGGCTCCAGGGGCAAGGAAATTCAGCTTCCGTCACCCCTGACTCGAGAAGCCAGACGGTTCCTCACCATAGCAGATCGGAGGCTGCCGCTCCTGGGAATCGATTCCTTCCATTCCCATCTGAGACTTACTCAATCGTCCCGATTCTTGACGGGACTCTGGTTGCCATTTTCGAAGCCGGGGACACATGAAAACAACAGAAGGCACATCCGCTTTCGTCTTCTTCCCCTCAAATCTCCCGCCACGAGAGCAGAAGTTGTCCTTTCGCACCGAATCACCGGCAGCCGAAAGGGACACTTCCGCCTTCTTCCCCTTTTGTCACACGGTCGCCATTTTAACGGCCGGGACAAGAGAGACAGTTCAGCCAGACAAAAAGCTCCAAGTGAAAGTTTAAGCATCCTTAGGAGCGTAAAGCATCCATAGGAGCGAAAAGCTCATTATCGCCTTCCCTAAATTTCTGGCTTCTTACAGGGGAAGGGAGGACTGTGTGGCTGCTCAGGCCAGCGTTAGCGACCCCATTATGCCGCCCCCCTCCGTTGATTCATCCCCATTTCCTTGCAAATGGTTGTCAATTATTAATACACAAAATCAGTTAAATAATAAATAAATTAACAAATTAAATAAATAAATTAAAAGGCCTGATAATTAATACATTGTCCTACCCTGGTGCACCCACTACCCTGACCGCACCTCCCTATTATTTCAGCCCCATCCACTGCAACTGGGTGAACGTAAGAAGGGCCGGACCACAAAGGGGTGGGACAGCAGCGATCCCTTTACCGGTCAGGTGGTCAGGAGAGCGGGACGACCATTCCCTGCTATACCTGCTTGCCCATCTCGCCAACTGATCCCCTAACAGAGCTCCCTCCCTCCCCTCCCAGAGCTCACCTAGGATGGAGGAGTCCACGGTGTCTCAGCCCTTGAGCATCGCCTCCCCTCCCACCAGCTGCAAAAGACAAAAATCCTCCAAACAGGAGGTGGCAGGCAGAATCAAAGCAAAGGCCAAGTGCATTTCTGGAAGAAAACCTTCCAAGTTGGCTGAGAAACAGGCTAGCAGAAGGCACCAGGCTCTGGAGAGGGAATTCTCCAAGGCACAAAAGCAAGCCAAGGCAAAAACGGAGCAAATGGAGGAAACATCCTTTGACCTTCCCTTGGGACCTTCCACCCAAGGAGTATGGTTCCCGGAGGGTCCTTCCAGGCCTCTGAGGTAGGTCTATCGACATCACGGGCCGCACAATCCATACCTGAGGCCACGTTCACACCCACAGTGGCAGGACTCGGGGGTGGAGTCTGAGTCTAACCCCTCCGAGGATCGTCTGCAAACTCTAATTGAGCAGACATACCTCAGGATGATGGTGGCTAGGACTAACCACGGACCAAGAACCGAATCCGTGATGTCCATGCCCCCATCCAAGTCCCAACCAGGGCATGCTGCATATCAGGACTCTCCCTCCCCATCACGGTCCTTCCTCAGCAGGGAATTCTCCCCCACGGAGGACGACCAACAGGACATGTCATGATGGGAGGAGGAGGACCCTGCTCCAGATCCATTGTTTTTAGAACCCGTGGTAGCTCTGAAACTTTTCCAAAGTACCATTAAGAAACAATGGACTTCACCGGGCACTTTCCCCAATCTGGGGGGAACAGACAAGAAGTTGTTCAGCACAACACCAGAACAATCAGAGGACCTCGAGGTACCAAAGGTAGACGACCCCTTTGGCTTCCTCTTCTCCCAGTCTGCAGTGTCGGGAGACATGGCAGAGGTATTGAAGTCCGATGACAAGAGGTGGGAGCTCACATTCAGCAGGATCCATCAGGCGGTAGCATGGGCGGTAAGAGCCGCCACTTGCACATCCTTTTTTGCAAGAACCTCCCTACTCTGGATTCGCCAACTTCAAGCCAGACTCCCTCAGGAGGAGGTACAGACACAACAGGACCTGAGCAAACTTGCTGTAGCATCAGAGTACGTCTCTGATGCCATGCTGCATGCAGCCAGGTTCTCATCCAGACGATAGCATCCAATGTCTCAGCACGCAGCATGCTATGGCTCAGGCACTGGCAAACTGACCCAAAGGCCAAGTGGCGCCTAGCCATGGCCCCTTACCAGAGTGGGCTATTATTTGGAGATTCAGCTAGTTCACACTAGTTCGGCAGAACCGGTAGCTATTTTTTTTATTGCCCGGGCCCAGAACGGACTTCTGGAAGCGGCATCCACACAAGAACCGGTTGTTCACATATTTGAATCCCACCACTACCCTTCAGAGAAGATTAGTAGACTCCTTTCTGAGATGATTGCCTTCTTCCAACAACTGCACAGATTTAGGAGGGATGCCTAAGGAGCTGTAAACTGTAATCTACGCAGCCAGATTAGCCAAAGCAACCCTGGTGAACATGAAATGACAGATATCCCCAGTGGTGGGATTCAAATATGTGAACAATCGGTTCTCTGTGTGGATGCTGCTTCTGGAAATCCATTCTGGGTCTGGGCAACAAAAAAATAGCTACCAGTTTTGCCGAACTGGTGCAAACTGGCTGAATCCCACCACTGGATATCCCATCCCGATTGCCCTCACATCCTGACTCCATGGAATCTATGCAGTCAGTTCCTGAATTCTCCAGTGCCTACATTTAAATATCCAAAGTTGCATCAAAGCATATGGAATGAAATGACATAAGCATACTAATAGCATACTGCTCTCTATGCACATATTAACACTTTTTTTCTAGATTTCTGATAGTATTAAGCTATTAAGTTAGTTTGATTGAGCAGCTTATACTGATGTTTTATTGATGTATAGAGACAGAGTTTGGTTTTTACACAAAATCACTATTTTCAATAACTATTCACCTGCTGATTCAGCTTCTACACAGTATAACTTCAAATAGCTTTTGTATTTATTTAGATAATTAGCTATCACTGTGAATAATCTAAATTTGAAAAATCTGGTAAAACAGATGGACAAAAGTTGTAGCTGAGAGTTGGCAATATTATACTCTTTACACGTCTGTGTTTCTGATGCATCAATAAGGCTAATTAGAATGAAAATTAGAAGTGGTTGAAAGGTTGTTAAGTCTATTCCAGTAAACAATATATTAATATTTTGCTTTTAACTGCAGCACCAGCAGTCAACCATATAATTTTAAGTAGTGGTAGCTTCATAGACAGTAGTCACTTTCACACTGATTCCTATTAGGTTAACTAAGCTAGAGTTCCATTGCTTAGCCCCATGTAATACCATTATCTAAAATATTGGTGTTATCAGCCAACTGTAAAGCTTCCAAGTTTGTGACTTCATAAAGTAGAATATTTTGCATTTTATTGACAATTTCAAATTTGATGGTTCTAGCGTTCGGAGCACCTTAGAGTACCACTGGGTTCCTGGCTTAATTTTATCAAAAATGTCAAATCCAAAACTTAGGAAATTGTCCAGGTGTTTGTATCCTAGTATCATCTTGAAAGAAAAATGGAGCAAGGCCTGCTGATTAATCCATTGAAGATAAAAATTTGATGCATCAAGATGGTTCTATGTTGCATAGTTTTCTACAAAGAGGGCTTTCCTTTTTTATACCATTCTGCTACCTTTCTAGCTTATTGAACTGATTGTTACGGAGTTTGGGTGCTGAGCTGTGTAATATATATGTTTGAAAAGTTGAGACAGTAACTTAGATACAAGATATAAAAATCAGGGGAAGTGGGAGAACAACAGAACACAGTTC